AGCGTCATTACACTTTTGTCTTGTCTCATCCTAGACATTTGCATGCTAAGTTCTGAACTTTCCGTAAGTTTGACTGACGATTGTTTCCAGTTGTGGTTTATTACAGAGTATAACCTTTCCCAATAATGGTCTGTCAGTATAAGCCAATGGCATATCAAATGCTAAATTCATAATTTTTAACTCCTATAAAATTTCTGTCTTGACAGCCAATCATTGCTAGAGATGGGCACACAAGATTTGACTTTTGTACAGCTTAACCAGTTGATTGGAAGGAAAACCGGAGGGATATCAGTTTATCCCTTTACATCCTCAGTGTGGGGTAGAGATGATCCATCTAGCAGGATTATTGTTCGTGGAAAATCCATGGTTGGACGCGCTGAAGACCTTTTTAACCTGGTATTTCGCTTTACATTTTTAACTTGTTACATTTGGTCTCATGATATCTTCCCTCTTATAGCAGAAACTCTCACTTGTATGTGTCTGATTCTATTTCCATGTGTTCAGCGTAGAGTAATGCGGTAGAGTAGACAATCACTCGCTACTTGAAAACTGGTTTTGTTTATTTTGGAGCTGAATTTTAGTATGTGTTTGTTCAGAATATAATCCTAACTTTCAAGATTTTAAAGGAAAAAGAATGTTGACAGAATGTAACTGTAGTTGATAGAAGAACTGTGCGATTTCTGAAATTCTAGGTTATCTGCAAGTAGAAGTTGTAGTTTGGTACTTAATGCTGTATTTGCTTTTGTCTTGCCGCAGATGAACTGTGTCCTGCAAGAGGTTCGGTTTACAGATCAACAGCGGTTTAAACAATTCGTCTCTCAGAGTAGAGCACGCATGGAGGTGTGCATTCATTTCTTTCTTCCTTTACACGTTCTCACAAGAACACCGTGGTAGTAGCATAACTCCAACTCTTGTTCATTTCAGAACCGATTGAGGGGAAGTGGTCAAGGAATTGCTGCTGCAAGGATGGATGCAATGTTGAATGTTGCTGGATGGATATCTGAACAGATGGGTGGTCTCAGGTTATAACTTGATAACTATTTCTTACAGTTTTAGCTTTTACCATTTGTGTGAGATCTCTTGATTTGATTAAAACCTGGCTGTGGGAGAAGGAACTTTATTCAAGTTTTTAGTTTGATTCTGAAACTTGTAGAGCCTAATAAGAGTTTTGTTTTTCTCTTTGTAGTTACCTTGAATTTCTACACACTCTTGAACAGAAGGTGGATCAAGACTGGGAAGGAATTTCATCCTCACTTGAGGAGATAAGACAATCTCTCCTTTCCAGGAATGGTTGCATAGTTAATATGACTGCTGATGGAAAGTCCCTCACAAGCACTGAAAAATACGTTGGAAAATTCCTTGACTTACTCCCTGACAAGCCCTCTGGTGGACTCGTCACTTGCGATGCACGACTTCCGTTGAGAAATGAAGCTATTGTAATACCAACTCAGGTAAACAAAAGGAAAACCCTTCTGTGTCTTTTGGTGTGTTCTTTCTCTTGGCTCGTCTTTTAGTTATACCACAATCTTATTCATGCCTTCTCGACAGGTGAACTATGTGGGAAAAGCGGGTAATATATACAGCAGTGGCTACGAGCTTGATGGGAGTTCATATGTTATATCAAAGCATATTAGTAACACATGGTTATGGGATCGTGTTCGTGTGAGCGGTGGTGCATATGGAGGATTCTGTGATTTTGATTCACATTCAGGTAAAATGGCTTCCCTTTTTCCTTTTTTTTCTTCTTTTGGTAATGCTACGAAGTTCTCCTTCAGACCTCACCTTTGGAGTTTCTCTTGTTCAGGAGTGTTTTCGTTCTTATCTTACCGTGATCCCAACTTACTGAAGACACTAGACATATATGATGGAACTGGAGACTTTTTACGTGGACTTGATGTCGATGAAGACACCCTTACAAAAGCAATTATCGGGACTATTGGGGATGTTGATTCATACCAGCTCTCTGATGCCAAAGGTTATAGCAGGTATGGTGTTTAACTCTGTGGGTTCTGTGGTTCCTGTCAGCTTATTTCAAGCAATGTAATGGATTGTGGATCTAATTTACCATCTCAATCTCTAGTTTGTTGAGGCATTTGCTTAATGTAACCGACGAAGAGAGGCAAATAAGGCGTGGAGAGATATTATCAACAAGGTTAACATCATTCTCTCGTTTTTGCTTTAGCCTATTATATGTATCAATGTTTGTATCATGTGACGGTTTATGGAATCTTTGGTGACAATGTTTCTGATCTGAGTCTTTAGTGTTAGGAGTTTAACGATTTCTTTCAAAATTACCAAATAGCCAGTTCTAATTCTTGAACATAACTTCGTAAACTAACATCCATTTTATTAAACTCACTCATAGTTTGAAGGACTTCAAGGAATTCGCAGAGGCGGTAGACTCTATTAAAGATAAAGGCGTTACAGTGGCCGTGGCATCACAAGAAGACATTGATGCAGCAAACAAAGAACGCTCGAACTTTTTTGAGGTGAAGAAAGCTCTCTGAGTCTGCGAGGCCCTCTTAGGTTCATGGTACGACGCATCAAAGTTCTAGGCTCGTATTTTTTTGGGTTCTACTTCACTGTGTTTACAAAGTTATACGCCAACATCATGATCTATCACAGTAGAAACTAAGCGTTTTCACCTTTCACTTAATGAAATTTAGTAATTTACCAAACCAAATTGCTAAAACTCAGGCTTTAGAGCTACTGTTGCATTTGAACAAGCTCATGAGGATTTTCTTTTACCTTTCAGGTTTTAAATCCAGTCTTGTTTGATTCACATTTGGTTCAGTATGATGAGTCAGATACACATTAGCTTCATCATTGGCTGGGATCGAACCGTTGCAATTTGCATTGCTTGTTAAAACAAATGTTTCTCATCTGCCATTTCTCTCCAGGTAAAACAGGCATCTATGACATAACTACTCATCTTGTGTCTTGATCTAGTCACTGTCATACCTTCTCGTGTCTCATGCTTCATACGTTTTGTTTTCGAATTAGGTCTAAACACATTTCAAAGTGAATTATTAACTCGCTAACGCAATTTGATGGGAAACTCAAACATGTGTCACTCACAACTTGAGATCCATATTTTGATAGATTCTGAGACTGAGATTTTGTAGGTATATGTTCGGTATTTTTGTGTTATTTTGAATATTGTTACGAGTCGTACTAGCTGCAATACCCGAGTTTACATAACTATATATAATCGACAATAATAAATAAATGCTCTTTTTCACCCTCACTATGAAAGCTTGCCAGCACAATCATTGTGTAACGGTCAATAATTACTCATTTATTTTTCACTGCCAATGGTCCCAACTTATTAGAAGGGGAAAAAACATGACACTTATATATGTGTAAATTGTCTTTAACTTCTGTTTTTAACCCATTTTGGACATATGTAGAGATTCCCTGTAAGAGGTGGAACATTTAGATGGTTTTTGTTGTCATTGTTTAGATAATTACATTTATTAGTTCTGTCACCAAGTGTCACTCGTAAGGAAGTAAATGCTTTAGGGTCACCTGACCCAAAAAACAGGACTAATTGAAATTTAGGCTCTAATCTAGTGCGAAATCTCTCCTAATACGTATAAAAAGTTCAAAAACTATCAATCCCGATTTACTTTATTTTGGCGCCCTTCATTTGGACTTTGGTGACTTTGCATCTCGAAATCAATTAATTTCTTGTTCAATTGTAAACTGTAAAGGATACAAGCGACAAGAGCGTTATTTACACAAACTAAACGTTTCACCTTTTCACTATTTTATACAAATCACTCGATTAGATCGAAGAGAAAGAACCCATTGATCGAAAGCTCTAACTTTATTATCTGATCTAACCAAAAAAAGAAAAAAAAAATATCAATGATTTTAAGGCAACGTTTAATTGGTTTCCACTACTTCTCTCGCAACTCTGTATTACAACTTCATCAATAGGTTCCTCTCTGTCCCTTGAAACATTTCTATAGATACTTTTAAACCGTTGCAAACTAAACTGGACCCGGTTCACCGATTCAATCTCCGAGCATGATCAAAACTGTGCCGCCTCAGAATCAAGAGCAAAGATTGTTTGCTACTTGGGTCACAATAGGTTCTGCTCCATCGCCGAGACACGTGCAGATTCCAGTGTTTGCCGTTAGAGGATCAAGGAGTGTTCAAAGATAATAACGACTTTAATGAGAATAAGAAGAAAAAAAGACTAATCTTTTAGTCTGTTTTAGTTTTGTTAAGCAATTATTATCTTTGTTTGTGGAAAATATTAGTTCTACGTTAAGTGCACTAGTCATGAGAATTGATAGGTAGTAGCTAGTAATTGTAAAATACCCACAAATAGTATACAACGATTTCTACTTTTTCAACCAACCTTAAATATATATTGATCATATTAAAATTTTAAAATGTGTTTTTGGATGTTAGAATGTAAATAAACTTTAAATGAAAAATTAATTAACATAACTTTACTAAAGTATTAAATAGAAAAAACATTAAAGATTATTTAACATTTAAATTTGATAAATGTAATATAAAAAAATAAAAAAACTTGCATTTTTGTGTGTTTTACTCAACAAGGGTTCTGGAAGAACACATAAAGATAAAGATTTTTTGAAAAATATCTTCTTACTTAAATTCATTTAATTTCATACTTCCATACATTTATTACATATATATATGTCTAAGAGAATTGCTCACCAAGGCAATATGTCCCTTTCTACTTTTTTGTTCTATCTTAAAACATAATCGTCTAAAGTAATTAATTTTATTAATTGTTTTTTGAAATTTACACATTTTCCATAGGGAAAACAATTTCTGGCCTCATGTTCACAGCTGACAGAGAAACGACGACGTTTACCGTTGCTTTGAAAGGAAGCTAAAAACGGCAAAAAAGACGCGCAGTTTCGCATCCCGACGGCGTCTGCGTAGGAAAACGAAGCTCCGTAACGGCGCCGTTACCTGCTTCCCCGTGAACGGAACTGAGGAAGGGGACCCCACTTAAACCGGCACACAACGGGCCCATCCGCTAAGCCAAAGGAAAAAAAATAAAAATCTCAGCCGTTGAAATAATCAACGGCTCCTGATCCTTCGTCTTCCTCCCCAAATACCCAAAACCCTTCCCCTGTTTTTTTTTATTAACCAGAAAAAAACCCAATAATTTTACAACTGTCCAGAGAGAGCGATGAACGAGATCAGCGAGAGAGAACCCATGATCTTCAAGAGAAACTCGGGAGAGACGGAGTTCGAAGGATCTAACATCAAGAGGATAAGACTCGACGACGATGATGATGATGATTTAGCAGATTCCGAGGTTCTACGCTCACTGGAGAGAACCGTTTCTTCTTCTTCCCTCGCTTACTCAGCTTCAGATTCCGGAGGTTTCTCCGTCGCTTCATCTGAAGAATACCATCACCGGAGCTCAAGCGTCAGCTCCGGCTGTTCTAGCAGTGAAACTAACGAAATCTCTACAGATACTCGTCTGCCATTTTTAGATCTAGAGGTGAGAAAATTCAAAACTCTGAGATTACAGATTTTTAATTCCTCTGTCCAACTCTTTTTTTTTTGTTCTTTTCCCATTTTCGTCTGCCACAAAATAAATGCTCTGAAGCTTTTCTTCCTCTTTCTCTAACAATAAAGATCTTACTGTTACGTTTTTGCTTTCACAAAATTATTAATTACGTTCCTAATAAAACAGCCATTTTTTAATTGATTGTCTTCGTTTTGTTTCCATTTCAAAGGCTCAACAAATCTCCGAAACCGAAATCTCAACGTTAATCACCAACAATTTCAGGTTAATTACTGCGAAAACGTTCCAATAAATTTGGGTTATAAATTGTTCTTCTCACATTCTTTAATTTCTGGGCATTTTTTTTTTTTGTTTTGGCGTTACGCAGAGAACAAGGAAGTCCATTAAGCGAGAATCTGGGTGAAACAGCTGAAATGGACTCGGCGACGACGGAGAAAAGAGATCAGCGAAAACCAGAGAAGACGGAAAAGTCTCCGACGCAGGCTGAGCTCGACGACTTTTTCTCGGCGGCGGAGAGATTCGAACAAAAACGATTCACAGAGAAGTGAGTTCTGATTTGATGAAATGCGCAAGATATCAAGATATTTATTAACACATGCGTACTTTAGCAAAAGTCTTAAACGTCCACTTTTATTAACATGTGTTCACAGGTACAACTACGATATCGTCAACGATACGCCGCTCGAAGGTCGGTACCAGTGGGTTACTCTGAAGCCATAAAAGACAGAGGAGGAAGAAGAAGAAGAAAAAAGAGAAGAGACAATGCTAAAGTTACACGTCGTTTAGTACTGTGAGTTTGTCACAGACAGGATCATAGGAGTTTTTATTCCACTGTACAGTCCTCTAATTTTAGTTGCTTAGCTATCGAATCGATCTTAGCTTCTTTTTTCTTGTGTTCTTTCGTACCAAAGAGTAAAAAGGACGCAGCTTTTTTTGTTCTCGTGATGGAAAATTTTCAAGAACTAAAAAGTTTTTTTGTTTTTATCCTGAATTTAATTTTTCCGTCCAAGTTGTTAAATTTTTCAATGTGGGGTTACAAGATGAACAAAAAAATGAATTATTGTGTCAGTGAAAGTAAAGTTTTAGTTTTGTGGAGTTAAGTGTTGTTGTGCACATTATTAGCATTTCATGAATTGGGGGCTTATATGTTTCGTGAATTCGGAAAGGTATTTATTGTTTTGATACTCAACTTTGGATGTTTATAGAAATTGTTTTTTTTCTTTTGTATATTCGGTTGAACTAAAAAAAAGTTTTCTTTAACAAAAGTTAATAACTACTAATAAATGGTTTTAAGATATATAAACTTTGAATTTGAACCCAAATAATGAAAAGGGATAAAACTTGGGAAGGCACAGACAACGGTCTATGGCAATGGCAGGGATGTGTATCATACAGTTGGTATGTACTTTCTATAGTTAAAATGAAATATTCCTCTAATTTATTTAAAATGAATATAAAAATATTTTTTTTTGTGAATGCCCTTGAAATACCTATGGGTCCACTACGATGATTAAACGTTTTTTTTTCCTCCATTGTGGATTCTAAAAAATAACTCGAAAACAGTTTTTTTGAGGCGAAACTTAAATATTTTCACATACGGAAAAAATGGAAATAAAAATTACAAAAAAGGGAGAGAGAAAGAAGGGAATTGTGAGGGAGTGATGGAAAAAGAGGATCTCATCATTACCTGATTCCGTTGGGATTATATTCCTTTTTATTTTGCTTTTTCACACTCTCTCTTTTCTTACAGCAGACAATGGCGCGTGGCTGCACGTGCTTTCTGTTATTTTAAATTTGTATTTTCTTTTTTTCTGTTATTTTAGATTTTTCATTTTCCTTCAATTTGCTACATACATCTTTTACACACGAAAAGAAAACAGTGAGGAAAAGGAAATGAAAAAGAAGTAAATATTGAACTTCAGTATCAGATAACATTTCTCAACAAGCCATATGATGTCTGGTACGGCAAGGGTATTTTTGTCAATTTTGCTCAGAACCTATATGTTGTGACTTGTGACCATGTTAATGTAAAATTACTATGCAAATTTGTAACTGTTCCTATCGTGCCAGATCACTTTTTTTTCCTTTCAATTTCAGTAAAAAGAACGAAAATAATAAAATTCTTGTGACGATAAAAGTATAAAACTCTTTCGGAAAATAATGGATGATGTGGAGAAAAAGAATGGGTAAAAGATGACCGAGTCTTTTATATATTGTGTAAATTAGATGATTCTGTTGAAGACTTCTTCTCTATCAGTGATTAACTCGAAAAAATATCAATTCATTAGTTTACAGCATATATATGGTTACATATATTTATATAGGTTGTGCTTATTCTAGATTTCATGTGGATGTATTGACATGTGTGTTTCTTTAATATGTTTTTTGAGTAAGGATTAAGATAATGTTTTAAGAAAGCGAAATTCATTCAATTTAAATTCTAACCAAGTACGAAAATATAATAAAGGTTCTACATTAATCAAATTAATAAATAAACTTGTACATCTTATGTTTGGTTGCTTGTTTTTTTTAAAAAAATATGTCTCCGTTTTTCTCTATCATATCGTTGTCTCTGTTTTGATGTATAATCTTAATAAATTTCAACAGTTGGAAAAAAAATCGTTGCAATTAATTGGTGAAAAAAAGTTACAACTTACAAGCAATAAATTTAAGAAGTAATGTAGGTTTGAATATACTTGTGTGTGAAGAGTTAACAAGAGTGCATGCACATGGCTTGGATCTTGTGAAACCTTTGTTTTTGGGGGGTAAAATGTTAAATTTTGTGAAATTTTCTCTTAACATCAGATCCAATGCTCCTATACCTAGAGAATGTGGAACCGTTCTCCTTTCTCATACCACTAGCTATACGACACGTGTGACCTTTTATTTGTTATCGCCAGTCTAAAATTGAATTTGAATAAGTACCCAACACTATAAGCAATAGCAAAAATTTGAACCACCATTTTCATTGGAAAATGATCAGAAATAGTACTACTTTTAAAATTAATTTTCGACTATTTAAAATTATCAAAAAGTTTCGTAGGAAAGTGAATTTAGTTGATATATGGATCGGAATTTTTTTTTTTTCAAATGGTAAAAAATGTCCTTGGACAATGATGGAAAATTTTCTGAATATAAAACAAATAGTTGAACAGTTTATCAAAAATATTACAACTAAAAAAGGATAAACCTTGAAAAAAGGATAAACTTGCACATAATAAGTCAATAGCACAATCGATTTTTCTTCCCCATGGTTTTTTGTTTTTTTGAACTTTTAAATTTTTTATCCCATGTTGAAATCTAGAAATGGGTTTTATTCATTATACATCTCAAAGAGTAATTACCTCATGCCATGGTGACTTTGCAGGGTAGTTTTAGTGTTGATCTTTAAGAGACAACTTTAACTAATATATAAAATTCCAACCTGTTTAGAGGCCTATTAATTAGCAAGGTAAAATCCAACATCCAATAAATGTTAAATCCTCAAAAGCCAATATGTATATATTCTCCATTTCAAAAGCAGAGAAGATAAAAATCACAGTATTCACTGTTATTCATGCACACAGACAGTTATATCACGTCGCTGTCGAAGGAGGCCTTGCCAGAGCTAAAGAAGACTTGTACAGAAGGCACTGCAGTTATGACCGGAGCTTCGACTGGTTTAGGTTTAGCCACTGCATGCAAAGGCTCCACAATGAATGATAGACGTGATCAAGAAGTGAAACGATTTTGGCTTTGGCGCTGCCGGTTTTGTAGCTATAATCAACGGCGCAATTTTGATCAAGGTGAAGTACGATCTGAGATCTCTAAGAAGGTGTGGTGGAGACTGGAGCGTCGTTAAGCAAGAAGGTAGCAGATGGGTTTTTGTTTTAATCAGTTGCTGGAGAGTTTAGAAGTAATAATCTTCTTGATCTATCAATTATCTTTGTCTTGAACAATGTCGGAAGGTTTTTCATTCATATCTTTTAAGATTTTAAACGTTATTGATTTTTAGCCATGTGCTTATGAGATTATATAGAATATAACTTTCAAGAATTGTATTGAAGTGTTCACGGACGCTGTTTATTGCTTTTATGTGCAGATTTAAACCCATTAATCGGTCCTAGCATTATAAAATATTTGTTGTTAACTTCATGAACAAAACAACTTAACCACCATATAAATAAACACCAAACACGGCGCATCAGCTCCTTATCACAGGTTTTTCATAATTTTGGATTATAAGAGTTTCAAGGAAATGACCTAGTCTTTGTACTTTGATGTAAAGAAGATCTCTGAACTTTTTTCATCTAGCGGATCAGAATTTTAACGGAAATCTACTTAATTGCTAATTAAGCGAATACGAATCAGAAAATTATTGATCTAGACAGAACAAAAATAATTACAAATACAGTGCCACAAAAATCTAAGATATTCGTACATTAAATAATAACCCAGGCAGAGGGTACACCTAAATTAGGACAACACCTCACATCAAAATGCTCTGTTTACGACGTTATCAAATGAAGAGACCTGCCCTTTTAAAAAAATGAAATTTGAGTTTTATAAGCTATTAATTCCGTAATGTGCCAAAAAACTACAGTTATTCCGAAATATGATTAATCTGTACTAGTAAAAAAACACTAGCTTGAAAAATATCCATGGGTTCACTACGGAAATTTACTTTTGTTTTTTCATGTTCAGTTTATTCAATTTTTTTTTTTTTTACTTTATAAACAACCTCTTAAAACAAAAATAATAAATAAATATTGCATGACCGGTGGAGACGGTTGAAAAAACCCCAACTAATCCATCCAACCCCCACGACATTTCAATTTCATATTCATTTTACTTTGGTTTATATTTCGTGACTTTGTTTTCTTACATTGTTTCTCTCCTTCTCTCTTCACTGGCTAAAATTTGCAACTTGTAAATCGAAGCTGATGGTGAAGTTAACACAGAGATTAGGCGGGTTGGTACTGCGTTTTGCGGCATTTTGCGCTGCATTAGGAGCGGTTATCGCAATGATCACCAGCCGCGAAAGATCTTCATTCTTTGTTCTCTCCCTAGTGGCCAAGTATAGCGATTTAGCCGCGTTTAAGTAAGTTTAAATATTTTCATTCTGCATATTAATCTAATTAGGAGTTAAGAGAAGAGTATGTGCTGTAATTGATACGTTATGCATTCATGTGTGTATATGGCAGGTACTTCGTGATCGCAAACGCGATCGTTAGCGTTTATAGCTTTCTCGTTTTGTTTCTTCCGAAGGAGAGTTTGCTGTGGAAGTTTGTAGTTGTCTTGGACTTGGTAATTAATTATACCACTATACTAATTATTTTTCTTAATAATTGCGGCCACAAATATTAATAGACTGACCTGGAAAACTATGCATTGTTTGTATAATTTCTCATTTAACCAAATTATATTTGTAAAATGTGAAATCAACCGTGAAGATGGTGACCATGTTGTTAACGTCAAGCTTGTCAGCGGCGGTGGCGGTAGCACAAGTGGGGAAGAGAGGAAACGCAAACGCAGGATGGTTGCCCATTTGTGGCCAAGTGCCGAGATTCTGCGATCAGATAACCGGAGCTTTAATCGCTGGTTTAGTCGCACTGGTTCTCTACGTCTTCTTGCTCATCTTCTCTATCCACTCCGTTGTCGACCCTTTCCTCCTCCGAAAATCTTGAATCAAATAATATAAATTCATTCGAAGACCATATATATGTTCTCGTATAACATTTTGATTTTGATTTTTCGTCAATAACTGTGAACCCACATACATTCTTAAATATTTTTCTTACACAATTCAATACGCTACTTCACTCTAGCTTCTTAATAATATATTTAGTAAATTTTCATTCATAAAAAAATAGAATAAACTAAATTACTCTGATGTAGAAAAAAATCCATCTACTTTGCAATTTGCATTGATCAATTTAGATCCCCAAACATTCTAGTCATCGCTTTCAATTTAATTTTAAAAGAATTAAATACTTCTTAATCGTTTTATTGTAAAATTAGTTTATTTATCCACCAAAAAACATTAAAGGATTTCAGATTCATTTTATGTCAATAAAAGGTTTGATTTGCCCGATTTGGCACTTTGGTCATCAACTGTCATCACTCATCAGTTTATGTCAACCCTAAAACTACGGTCGAATCAGAACCGTTGGATCTGAAAGAAAGAAACAACAAACAGAGCTTGAGGACGTAACTGGGCCCCACGTTCCCACCACTTCTCTCTCAGACCTAAGTGAGAAACAGCCTTAAACCCTCCGAATCTACACTCTCCTCTCTCTTCTCTTTCTCTCTCTCCCCGCCTCCATTATCTGCTAAAGACCAAATCTAATCCTCTCTCTCTCGGTTTCCGCCATTTCCATAGCTCCACCAAGCTTCCTCGAGAGAGAGAGAGAGAGTGAGAGAGAGAGAATTACTGAGTCTGAAAACAGAGAGGTGGTGTGTTTTTTTCTCTCTCTCAGATCGGATCGGATTTGTTTCCTTAAAAGATGCAGACGACAAACAACGGCCCTGATTCGGCGTTGGCGACATCAGCCGGAACAACGCCACCGTTGCAGCAATCGACTCCTCCGCCGCCGCAGCAGCAGCAACAACAACAGTGGCAACAACAGCAGCAATGGATGGCGGCGATGCAGTACCCTGCAGCGGCTATGGCGATGATGCAGCAGCAACAGATGATGATGTATCCTCACCAATACGCTCCGTACAATCAAGCTGCTTATCAGCACCCTCAGTTTCAATACGCAGCTGCATATCAGCAGCAACAACAGCAGCAGCAGCAGAAGAGCCAGCACCAACGTGGTGGATCTGGTGGAGATGATGTCAAGACTCTTTGGATTGGTGATCTTCTTCACTGGATGGACGAGACTTATCTCCATACCTGTTTCTCTCACACCAATGAGGTAATTTGAAATCCAGATCGATTTGATTTGATTTGTTCAAATCTTGATGTTAGTGCGTTGAATCTTTTTTTCTTTCTCTGACATGGAAAGTGATAGATGTAACATCCGTTTGCAGATCCGAGACTATTTTTTTTTCGTTATCGTGAATCAGATGTAAAATATAGCAAGTTTATAACTTTTATGTATTGTCTTGATTTGGGTATTTTAGATCTAAGTGACCGTTTGTGATTTGCGTAGAAGCCTAAAGGTTTGACATTTAGGGTAATGGAGAACTACGTTGACCTTTAAAAAGAACAACTTTAAAGTTCGTTTTCACAAGCCAATCAAAGTACATATGCCACGTTTAGAGGACCCTTTTTTGCTAATGGAGAAAAAGATAAAAACTTTGAACATGTAAACGAGATCATTTCTCTCTCTGTTTCATACTCTGTTTCTGGTTTCGTGGTGTGCAGGTTTCTTCTGTGAAAGTTATACGCAACAAGCAAACTTGTCAGTCAGAAGGTTATGGCTTCGTCGAGTTCCTTTCACGTTCAGCGGCTGAGGAAGTTCTTCAGAGCTATAGCGGCGTAACGATGCCGAACGCAGAGCAGCCTTTCCGTTTGAACTGGGCGTCTTTCAGTACCGGCGAAAAGAGAGCGTCGGAAAACGGTCCGGACCTATCGATATTCGTGGGAGATTTGGCTCCAGATGTGACTGATACTCTACTGCTCGAGACTTTTGGTAGATATCCATCTGTGAAAGGCGCTAAAGTCGTGATCGATTCCAATACCGGGAGGTCCAAAGGCTACGGGTTTGTGAGGTTTGGTGATGAGAACGAGAGATCAAGGGCCTTGACAGAGATGAATGGTGCTTTCTGCTCGAGCAGGCAGATGCGTGTCGGTATTGCAACACCTAAAAGAGCTGCTGCTTATGGTCAGCAGAATGGTTCACAAGGTAAGTGACTATATATGTCTTTGTGACTTGATAACTAAATGGAGTAACAAAGTAAGATCTTAAGTTTTCAAGATAGCATTTGAAGTAAAAGTTGTAATGTTTTCAATGGATTTAGCTCTGACACTGGCTGGTGGGCATGGAGGGAATGGTTCTATGGCTCATGGTTCATTCTCTGATGGAGAATCAAATAACTCAACAGTGAGTTAGTTCTTCTCGCTATTCTTCTGCTAACAACAAATATCACCTCATTGCTTATTGTCTTGTATTACGTGTTTGCAGATATTTGTTGGCGGCCTTGACGCTGATGTTACTGAAGAAGACCTCATGCAACCTTTCTCCCAGTTTGGGGAGGTTGTGTCGGTGAAGATCCCTGTAGGCAAAGGATGCGGGTTTGTCCAGTTTGGTAACAGGTACTAACCTGTTTCTGTGCTTGTCAGCTTACTTAACAGTGAAGATGGGTTGTTGCAAAGTGACGACGTGCCATTGGTTTTGACAGGCAGGGTGCTGAAGATGCCATCCAGAACTTGAACGGGACAGTCATAGGGAAAAACACTGTCAGGCTTTCTTGGGGAAGAAGCCCAAACAAACAGGTACAACAAAACTTTAGTTGGGGCTTTGTGTGTCATTTCTACTAGTATGGTCCAGGTCAAATATTTCTTGGTGTTCTTTGTTTCTCTGTCTCCATTGGATGGATGAAGTTATAGAAATCCTTAAAGTCAAAGTCAGTGGTTGACAATGGATAGTAGGTGTATTGTGGCCCATAAAGATCTAGTGGAATCTAATGCATGTCTGCTTGGCCCACTTGTTATCTCCCTGAACATTATCCAATCTCTGAAACAACTGTGATGGTCCTGTGTTTCTTAGGATTGAAAAGATTAATGAGCTAGTTGAAGTGGCTACTTACATCTTTAGAGGTTGTCTTAGTTTCATTGTTTGTCTCAAGTCTCCATTAGTTGTTGTAAACTTGTAATCAATGGACTTAGACTAGTAACTTAATCTCTATAAGAATGAGCTAGTTGAAGCCTTTACCTACTTATATCTTTAGAGGTTGTCTTCTCTTACTGCTCAACACATTCAATCAACTATATCTAACTTTTGCATCCATCATTGAGTAATAAACTCGTTAAGTCTGCATCACTGTTCTGTTGAATGTTTATTCCATTCACTCATACACTGTTCTGTTAAAAAATGACAGTGGAGAGGAGACTCTGGCCACCAATGGAACGGAGGATACTCAAGAGGACAAGGCTACAACAACGGATATGCGAGTCAGGACTCAAACATGTACGCTACTGCAGCGGCTGCTGTCCCTGGAGCTTCTTGAAAGTGTTGGTATGTCTCTATCATCAAGAAAATACCGTGAGTCCATGGACTTGCGGGAACTGGTTTCTTGCCATCGGAATGTCAAAGCGATCCGATGATAGTTGTTGGTTCAGAGGTTAGCTCGCAACAACAAAACTTAAAAAAACCTCTAGTCTAAAGAGGGTTTTGTATCCTGGATTTGAATTTTTGCTTATCTTGCTGTGTCTCAGTCTCTGTCGAAATTTTGAGGTTGTCTGAAAACTTTTTTTATTTTCGAATTTTCTTTTAAGTTTATGTGTCCTGTTACCGAGACTTCCTCAAAGTCAGAGTTTGGTCCACAATAAGTAATTTCCCAAATCGTTTGTATCAGTTACTATAATTTGCAGTGCCTTGATAGTTTTTACTTACTAAAATTAGAATCTTGTTTGGTTTCGATTCATTATCTTCAGAAAGTTCATATGAATACTTGAGAAAACTTATTAAGTATTTAAAGGATTTTTTTAGAAGGAAAAGTGATATTTTATGAACTTCAAACTTTCTGACTACAAAATTGAATAAGTTTGTACAACAAAGAGAAATTGATTTATTTTGAGCAACTGTTAGAGGAACACATGACCAATCCTCCGAGAAACACCCATAGAGTTTTGGAACAAACCATATAAGAAGAATAACAGAAATAACCGCCACAATGTGATCAATCATCACTCTCCTCTGCTTAGCTTCCTCCCTGTTACAGAGCATCAAAGCAATGAGTCCATCAGAACGGTCTATTGTAAAGACCCAGTAATGGCTTTTCTCTATCTTCAACACGTTTCCTAGCAGCTTCTCTCGCCTTCAATGCAGCTTTCTCTTCTGCAGATACTTTCTTTGGTTTCTCATCTAGTCTCTTCCTCTTGTTGTTACCAATATCAACAGATGAAGCAGCTCCTTTCACAGTTCTCTTCGGGTTTAACGAAGCCGTGACAAGACGCCCAGGTGGTTTCGCCATACTTGGTCCAGCTTCTGAAGAAGGTACAGGCTTTTTAATCAGAGGTACTTTAGCTCCTTTATCTGATGAAGACTTAACCGCAGCGTATGCCTCGTCTTGTGTCACCCAATGTCCTGTTTCATTACCCGTGTAAGCACACACGCACCAGAAACTGTATATACAACGATTATGTTTGAAAGCAGATGAAAAAAAAAAGCTCTATTATTGTTACATACCTATTGAGTCACTGTAATAGAAACCAGACTTTGAGTCATAGTGCAGACCGTTGGTCTGGTTGTAATAATATCCCGAAGCACTGTCAAGCACCCAATCTGCCATAACAAATATCATCACTACATCAAACGAAAGAAAACTTCTCTAATATTTACGAGTGAAAAGGCTAAGAAAAAAATGCCAATCAAAAATGGTGAAATAACCTGAGAGAGACTCAAAAGAGGCAACCCTTTCGCTTTGTGGTGATGGTTCTCTATAGAGTTATAGGCATTGAAACTTATAAGTCAAAAATACTTTTGCAAAAATGGAAGAATCATTTAAAAGGTTAGTAGATGCTGCTTGGTTTGTTCATAGTTTTGGTCAATGAAAGTAACTCACAAGTCTAGTTTCATGGATTCCACAACCGTTTTATAGTTTAGCAGGTGATTTTGCTCTACGTCCTCGGTAAGTTAGTCTATAACAAACATACAAACTTGCTAATGCAGACACAACAGCAACATGATCGAGTTTTAAGAATCATAGAGACAATCTTACCGCGTGTACCATCCTCCGGTGCGCCGTTTGCTTTGGCCACTTCCTGAGCAGTTGCTATATCCTTCTGATAGCTACGAGTTGCTTTCTGAAATACGTAGAAAGATTCATCAGCAAAGAAACAAAGAAGGAGGATTTTTAAAAGAGAAGGAATCAAGAAATTACTCACAGCTTCGATCTGTTGAAGCAATTTTTCGTTTTTCTTGAGCTCTTTGTCTTTGGCTGCGCTCTTCTCACGCATATCAGTGAGCTTCTTGTCGACACATTCTCGGTGACGCTTACCAAGCTCATGGTTTCTTATACTAGTTGTATTGTTCTGAATCCAGATCTTGCAGAAGTCGCACCACTTGTTCCCTTGGCTTACCCAATACTAACAAACATACGAACAAGAAACAAAAAAGAAACTCAGATCAATTTCAATTACGAAACCGAGAGACAGGAACATGGGTTTCGAAAAAGATCAATTATCTGAAAGCAATTTGTAGTCGAAAGGTTTCGGAATTCGAAGAAGTTGGTAAAAGAAATCAAATTTTTGATTTACCTCAGTCATGGCTGTTGATCAGGGAGATGAAGAACGAAGCCAAGCTCACAAAACGGAGTTACCGGAACTAAAAATACAATCTTTTTCTTTTATCTATCCAAAATCCAGAACCAATGTAGAGAGAGAGAGGGGTTAGAAACCCTAATTCCTTAAACTGGAATCGAAACCTAGAGAGAAGAAGAGAAGGAGAATGTGTATGCGTATGCTTTGGGGATAATCGGTTCGGTATGTTTTATAATTTACTTCCATCACTCGAACCGAACTTGGTACGAACTTTATTTTTCTTTCCGGTTTGCATTTGGTTTCACCGACTCACAAATCTTCTGATATCAAAGTACGAATACAAACCGGAAAAAACCAAGATTCTTAATGCCATCAGAGATTACAGTAGCTCGGTTTCAATTCTTGTTGAGAAGTTCATAAGAATAACAAATGCTTTGTTCCTTCCTGTAACATGTAATAAGTAAAGAATACAGATAGTAGAAACTGTTCATGTAGCAGGTCTTGGTCCTTAAAAATACACTCTAATTCAAATCACTTAGCGTACAAAAAATTTGACCTTCCCACTTGTATACCAAAGCCTCCCCGCAACGACGCCTACAAGTATCACACATTGGTCTGGTAATACCACTGTTGCGTGCAATTTCAACCTCATTATCATCGTCTTTGATTATATGGTTTGGCTTCAGGTACATCTCTTGACCCAATAAACACGTGACGTGAAGAGTGACTCTGCAGGAGTCGCATGTGTAGAACCACTCCGTCGCATCTAACTTCCCTTCACAGAACTCACACCAGTATTGGAGATCATCTGTTACCTCTTCTTCTCCGCAGCAAAGAGTGAGTGGATGTTTGTCATGCTTGTAGTGAGCCAGGGAAGGCAACGTAGCACATCTGAGACACAAAAACGAGTTGCATTGAATACATTCGACGTGCCTGCGAAAAATGCCGCCACACTTGCAGCCCATGCATTCACCTCGGGTCAGGTTGAAGAAGAGAGGGTGACCATGCGGATGGCAGTCGTGGATTAAAGGATCAGGAAGCGAAGCGCATCTTGCATCTAGCTGAAAGTGACAGTTTTTCTCCATGCATCTGTAGACGAAGCCACAACAAACTCGTCCACAACCATCACAAACGAAGAAACCTTTTCTGTGATATTCAAGCACGAGCTCTTGAGTAGGACTGGAAGAGAATGGGTGCAAGAGGGTGAGCGGGTGTTTGTGTATAGGATGGTGTTTTTGGCGAGGCAGGGATGCACATGTTTCATGAAGAACACACTCGCATTGGACACAGCTATAGAAGCGATCTGACACTGTCATCGGGAGGACGCAAGCTTGGCAAAACTTGTTCTCATGGTTGCCCTTGCTGTCATTCCCATGAATCTTTAGATGGTGATGGTCATGGCTGAAATGTTGTATAGTCTCTTCGTCGATCCTCACGAATGGCTCAATGACTTCCTCTTCCTCTTCGGGCACTCCTTCAAGATCTATCCCATCCCACACTTGATCCTTTGTTGCACATTTTGAATGGACAGCGTAGTGGCACCCTCTGTTGCAAGAGTAGCTCCCGTAGTTGATGTCTACGGGTTTGCGGCAAACTCCACAGGACAAGTCACCATCACAAGGAACAAGGGAGGAAGTGTGAGAGAGACGGTGCTGGTGACGGTTGATCTTAATGACACGAGGTAGGTAGATGCATCTTCTATGGATCATGTAGTTACAAAGCAGACAAGAGTAAACTTGATCCAACCTAGCGTCAAGAGAGAAGCCACAAGCATCACAGGGCAAAGGCACCCGTCTGGGAAAGAGGGTTAGAGTGTGGTCGTTCAAGTCGATAATTCTCAAACACAAAAGTATAAAGAACTGCTCTTCTTTATTAGATTTAGAAAACTTCACAAAAACTAAATCTCTCTCTTATGTCTTGTGGAACAATTCTCCACAAGCTCTCTATTTATAGAATCAAGCAACTCCTTGTTCTATTAGGAATAGAAAATACATCTTTTCCATTCTTGATATTTCCTATTCTATGTATCTTTAGCTACTCCTAAAGATAATTTCCTCTAGAAGTTACTGGAATTATCCAACATTCTCCCCCTTAATTCCAACTTGAATTTTAGGAAGAATCTCGATCTCTTGTACTCCAATTAAGCTCCTCATATCCTTGAACTTAATCCTTGCTAACGGTTTGGTGAGAATGTCAGTCTTCTGTTCTGTCCCGGGGACATGCTCCACTTCGATCTGTTCATTCTCCACACACTCTCGAATGAAATGGTAATTCTTGAGTATGTGTTTGCTTCTTCCGTGAAAGACAGGATTCTTGGTGAGCGCTATAGCTGATTTGTTGTCTATCCTCAACACGACCTTCCTGTCAACGTTTTGAATCTCGTTTAACAATTCTTTAAGCCATATCGCCTGCTTTGCTGCTTCTGTAGCCGCCATGAATTCTGCTTCACAAGAAGATAACGCCACTGTTGGCTGCTTCTGTGATGTCCAGCTGATTGGTGATGATCCGTAATAGAATACATGTCCTGAAGTACTTTTCCCATCATCCACATCGATGTTGTGGCTACTATCACTATACCCTACGATCTTCTTCACACCTTCTTTCTTGAAAAACAAGCCCATACTTGTAGTTCTCTTGATGTATCGCAGAATGTGCTTGATAGCTTGACCATGTGACTCCCTTGGACTTTGCATGTAACGACTCAGAACACCCACGGCGAAAGCGAGATCAGGTTTTGTATGCAATAAGTATCTTAGACACCCTATTGTTCACCTATACTGTGTTGCATTGATCTCTGTTTCATTCTCTGCTTTTGATAACTTCATACTCGAATCCATTGGCACTTGTGTTGCGTTGCACGAGTCCATCTTTTTATCGATAAGGATCCCTTGAGCATAGCCTTCTTGCTTGATCAAGATTCCGTCTACCTCTATTCCAAGGTAATATCTTAGTTTTTCCAAGTCCGACATGTCAAATCGTCTTGACATATCAGTTTTAAACTGATCAATCATTCTTCGTGAAGTTCCTGTTATAAATAAATCATCCACATATATCGCCACGATCAACTGCTCTTTCTCTGATCGTTTGAGATATACTGACGTCTCTTTCTGGCATCTCTTAAAACCCATCTCCTTTAGAGCATGATCCAGTTTTATATTCCAAGCTCGTGGAGCTTGTCGCAGGCCGTATAATGCCTTATGTAGCTTGTACACTTGTTTTTCTTGTCCCTTCTTTTCGAACCCTTCCGGTTGACTAACATAGACAAGCTCATGTAGATCCCCATTCAAGAAAGCAGTATTGACGTCTAGGTGGTGAATCTCCCAACCATGTGTTGCAGCAATGGCTATAAGCAGTCGTATTGTTTCAATTCGTGCCACAGGTGCGAATACTTCTTCAAAATCAACACCTTGTTGTTGAACATAGCCCTTCGCGACTAGTCTAGCTTTGTATTTATTCACCGAGCCATCTGTGTTTCTCTTTACTTTGTAGATCCACTTTAATCCAATGGGTTTAACTCCCTCTGGTTTGTCTACGAGTTCCCAAGTTCCATTGCGTATGATAGAGTCCAACTCATCTATCATAGCATCGATCCATTCCTGCAGACTTGCAGCTTCAGAGTAGTTTTCAGGTTCTCCATCTATTGTGAGCAACAATCTTTCGCTCTCAATATCACAAATCATGACATAGTCACTTAGGTATGACGGAAGATTGACTTTCCAACCATATCTCGTAAATATTGGTTCAGGTTCATCTTCTTGGTTCTCTATATTAACAACATTCTCCCCCTGTTCTTCGTTATGGTCTTCGTGAGGTTGCTCATGTACTTGATTTTCATCGTTTTGTACATCTTCTTCATCAGCTTCCATCGAACCGTAACGCGGTAGTGTGAACATTCCAGGTTCACCATCTGTTTCTCTGGTTAACGATGACCAATCCCATGCTCTGTTTTCTTCGAAAATTACATCTCTGCTCACCGTTATCCTCTTTGCTATGGGATCGTAAAGTCTGTAAGCTTTGGAGCCCTTCTCAGTTCCAAGGTTGATTACTTTCTTTGATCTTTCATCTAGCTTCTTCAGATAAGGTCCAGTAACTTTCGTATGTGCGACGCAACCAAACACTCGCAGGTGTGCGACACTAGGTTTCTTATTCATGAAGCACTCATAAGGGGTCTTGTCTTTTAGCGCCTTGGAGGAAACTCGGTTTATGATATATGTCGAATGTCTTACGGCTTCTCCCCACAAGAAGTTCGGTATTCTCATTGCTTTAAGAACACTTCTTGTTATCTCCATCAATGTCCGGTTTCTCCTCTCTACTACGCCGTTCTGCTGTGGTGTGTATGGTGCTGTTAGATGTCGTGTTATGCCATTCTCTTCACAGAATCTGTTGAATTCGAGTGAGGTAAACTCTCCTCCTCTATCGGTTCGAAGGGTTTTGATCGTGAAACCTGTTTGCTTTTCTACGATTTCTTTAAATCCTTTGAACCGATTGAAAGCCTCACTCTTTTTTTTCAATAACAGAGCCCACATGAACCGTGAATAGTCATCGATAAGTACAAAGACATATCGGTTGTTGGCTGGTGTTGGTGGAGAAATAGGTCCACACAAATCACCGTGGATGAGCTCTAGTGCTTGTGTTGCACGGAAGGTAGTTTTGATCGGGAACGGGGTCCTCGTTTGTTTACCCGAGAGACATGCCTCGCATACTCCTGTCTCAAGTAGCTTTTCTGGCATTCCCACTACCATTGCCTTCCTCACCATATTCGCCATGACGCCAAAACTTATATGCCCAAGTCTTGTGTGCCAAGTTTTTGTGATATCATTGGTTTGAATCTGAAAGCACTTGGGGTAGTCTATATCCATTCGTGTCTTGTAGAGGCGGTTCGCTGATCTCTGTACTTGTTCGAGTAGTCTTTCGTGCGGGTCTATGAGCTTCAGTTTGTCGCCTTTCATATTAACTTCGCAACCATTCTCGGTTGTTTGTCCAAGACTGATGATATTATGTTTCAAATCAGGAATGTAATAGATATCTTTCAGAGCTCTTATCTCTCCATTCTTCCCTATGAAAACAATGGTGCCCTTCCCCATAATCTCGACATTGGATCCATCACTGAAATTGACTTTTCCTTTGATCTTCTCATCTAAAGTTGAGAAATACACTCTATTTCCCGTCGTGTGATTACTGGCGCCATTGTCTAAGTACCATATGCTTTCTTTGTCTTCGATGATATCATATTTTTCTGGAAACACTTTGTCCTCGTTTAAGAACACTAGCTCGTGGATGTACAGGGCTTCGGGTTCTTGAGTCTCATTCAGATTTGCTTCATGATTCTTCGGAAAATCTGGACAGTTTGATACATAATGCCCTGGCTTGTCGCACCTATAACACATTACTTTGCTCATATCCCTTTTTCGACTTTGAGCATTGTCTTTGTTTTCTCCTCCTGAGCCCCGGTTTGTGCGACCTCGACCTCTGCCTCTGCCACCACCTCTCGATCTCCCTCGGGAACCTCCATGTCCACCGCAGGTACTCTGTTCTTGGCGGTTGTTGTGGTCATTGCTAGACCACATCAACTTGTTCTGTTCCTCTCCATGCGATTCTTCCCCAACTCGTTCTTCATAAGCTTTTAGTCTTCCGACTATATCTTCGATTCCTGTCTTGTTTAGGTCCAGGACTTGCTCAAGTGAAGCAACGATTTGAATATACTTGTTACGCGGGAGTCCCTTTAGGAACTTCTTTACAAGTTTCGGTTCCTCTATGACGTCTCCGAGTGAGGCTGCCTTTGAAGCTAACCCTGAAATCTTTCCAGCGAAATCATCAACTGAATCCGTGCTTGTCATGCTTAGTCTATCAAACTCAGACATGAGAGTTTGTAATCTCGCTTCTCTCACACGATCTGCTCCGAGATGACGAGACTTGATGGCTTCCCACACTCCTTTCGACGTCTCTTGTTCTCCCACTTGAAGAATAAGTGACTCCGGGATCGATTGGAAGAAAAGTGCTATTGCTGCATAGTTCTTCTTTGGATCTGCTAACCTCGGATCGATTGTCTCCCATACTTTATTAACTCGAAGTATGACTCTCATTCTCATTGACCAAACTGTGTAGTTTGTCGATGTGAGCATAGGGCATTGGATCGAGGGAGTTCCAGCTTCCCTAGCTCGCGGTTGTGGTTGATTCACATCCGCCATTGTTGGTTCACCAACTTGTCAAGGTCCAAGGCTTCCTCCTTGAAGCTCTGATACCAATTCAAGTCAATAATTCTCAAACACAAAAGTATAAAGAACTGTTCTTCTTTATTAGATTTAGAAAACTTCACAAAAACTAAATCTCTCTCTTATGTCTTGTGGAACAACTCTCCACAAGCTCTCTATTTATAGAATCAAGCAACTCTTTGTTCTATTAGGAATGGAAAATACATCTTTGCCATTCTTGATATTTCCTATTCTATATATCTTTAGCTACTCCTAAAGATAACTTTCTCTAGAAGTTACTGGAATGGCATTTCAGGTTTTCTATAGTGAGAGGTGGCCGATTGACTGCGCAGTGAGAATGGATGCGGAAATTGCAGGCAGAGCAGTGATAGTATGGTCGTTCGCCGAGATTTTTCCGACAAGATTTGCACTTTCGATGATTTTCATCCGAACCAAAGCCTTCATGATCAGACGAATCAGAGACATAGTGTTCTGAATCGGAGGAAAGTGGCTTCCAATCATCATGGAGACCAGTAGCGATATCGAAATCAGGGTCTGAGGAAGTGAGGGCGAGAGGGTGGATGAGGTGAAAAGGGTGTTTAATTTCGGGAGCAAGAAAGTGACAACCTCTGTGAAACTCCAAATCACAAGTAGAGCAGTAGTAATAGTACCTTTTATCCTCCAGGTGTTGTGGGCCTTTGCAGGTGAAGCAGATGGAGAGTGGAGGATCAGATCTGCGGCAAAGCTTGTGAGGGTTTGCTGGATCTGAGAGAGGACATGGGGGCTTAGAACGAGGGAAAAATTTACGTGACTCCATGGATTGATTCTTCTTTTGAGTGTAGTTTTTGGTGGATGACGAAAATCTGAGCAAAAAAATTAAGAAGCAGACTGACAGTGACGGGACACATTTAGTTTGAAGAAGGAGCTAAAAATTACTGAAAATGCCATCCTTTGTGCGCATGAGAAAGATAATGTTATGAAATAAAACACACATTGGTTACTAATTTATATAATTATTTCAACTTTTCATAGAGTTGCTCTTGTAGAAACTTTTACATTCCTGATTATTAAAATTTCCAAATTTAATTCCAAGAACCAGACTACAAGTTTTTTCTTTCTTTCATAGAGTTGTTCTGTCAATTACAATAGCTCGTTTTCAATTCTTGTCGGAAAGTTGATAAGAATGACGAATGCTTTGTTCCTTCCTGTAACATGTGTTGGCATTGATATGAAAAATTAACGAAACAAGATACATATAAAACACACACACAAAAATGAAAATACAGATAGAGACAGTGTTCATGGAGCAGGGTCTTCTCTTTCTTCCATACTCTGCATTTGCTCTGTTTCTGCGACTTTTCAACAGCTTCAAGTCTTGGTTCGAGGGTCTTCTCTTAAGGGAAATCAGACGCCTGTCAGAAAATTACAAGAAGTTTAAGCAACTGAAGTGAGCTGTTTAAGCAACTGAAGTGAGCTGTTTAAGCAACTAAAAGATTACAAATCCACTTTAGTCCTCATGTACCTTATGTTAAATAGAGAGATCTTGTAGACGACTCTTAATGAGGCAGGGAAGAAATCAGTTACATTCGTCACCATCGAAAAGACAAAGAGAATCAAATTTGTTAATAGTCATAAACGTACTGCTCGTGAGACAGACAATAAAATCTGTTACTCGTGGTACATTCGTCATCATCATCAAACGTAAGACCATCTTTTTGCAGGTGAGCTTCGGCTGATATTGTTGATATGCTCATGGTGGGATCAGGCTCCTCTTCTGGTGGGCTTATAGAAGATGTTGCAGCACCTGTCGATGACTTCATCATAATAAACCTGAGATTCTCTACATAGTCTACAAATACTTCAACTCTACCGCCAAATTGGTTAGCTCCAAGACCTTTGATTTCAACACTTCGGAGAGTGTTCCTTTCGGGACTCAAGTAGAAAACATAAAACGGCCTAGATGCATCCCAACGCTGCATCGACAAAATAATATCACCTGTAGCAGTCCCTCCAGCGACGGTAAGATTGTAGTAACCAGTGACTCCATCGTCGTTAAGACGAAAGGAGAAACGATTCGACCATTCCAGTTTTGGGTTCTCGACATCCTTTATAACACACATCATGGGGACACCATCCACCGAGAGTAACCATGCCTAATTTACCTTTGTAGTTGATCAGTTTAGTATTGTTCCTATCAATAGTGTGAACGTATTCAACAAAAAGAGGAGATCAATATGGGCCAAGACAAATTTACATCAAGCCCAACAACGAAACTACAACTTACTCACCAGGAGGACCCAATCGCCATCTGCAACAAAAGAAGACAAACTCTGTCATACAACAGAGGGAGTGGTTAGCATCGAGCAATAAACCCACCGTGGAGAACCATGCTCCTATACTATCTAGCTGTCATGATCCCCTATTATCACTAGATAGTATATAGATGCTTGATACTTGGAGCATGATCTTAAATCAAAGAGAATATATCTAGAATGTCCTCAAAGTTATATAAATATCTTCCCCTGTAATTGTTCGAGGAGTGTGAAAAACAGAGTGTGTTAAAAACAGAGTAACGTCTTTTTTCAAGTAAAAGCAAATCCTCTTTTGAATTATTCACATGGTATCAGAGCTCTCATAAACCTTCACGGGTGCTGTAATGGCTGAGAGACCCGATCCTTATCCCTTTCCTTCTAATGTTCATGTCTCCAGTTCTGTCACAATAAAGTTGAATGACAGTAACTACCTTCTCTGGAAGACTCAAATGGAGTCTCTCCTTCGTAGTCAAAGGCTCCTTGGCTTTGTTACAGGCCAAATCGCTCAACCAGCAGAATACACAACCACCACCATCGACAATATCATCGTTCAAACACCAAATCCACTTTTTGAGGCATGGATCTGCACCGATCAGCTTGTCATCTACAGAAGAAGTTCTCGGTACTGTTCACTGCTTGGCTACATCTCATGATGTATGGGTTTCTCTTGCTGATAACTACAACAAAAGTTCTGTTGCTCGTGAGTTTGAGCTCCGCCGGAATCTTCAACTAATGTCTAAGCGAGGTAAAGATTTCTCCACCTACTGCCGTGAGTTTCGTGCTATCTGTGACAAACTTAGCTCCATTGGGAAGCCAATAGACGAGTCCATGAAGATATTCTCCTTCATCAATGGTTTGGGTCGTGAATATGACCCAATAACAATAGTTGTTCAAAGTTCCATGACACGTCTCCCTACACCAACGCTCAATGATGTTATTTCTGAGATCTCTAGCTTTGATGCGCGTCTCCAGTCCTATGATGCAGTATCTGATATTACTCCTAATCTGGCGTTCCAAACCCAGAAATCTGGCTACAACAGCGGAGCTCAAAGGGGTCGTGGTAATTCATACTCTCGTCTTGGCAGTAGGGGTCGTGGTGGCTTCTCAACACGTGGCAGAGGCTTTTCTCAGCAAGTTAACACATCTGGTTGGAATCAAGCTTCAAGCAGCTCCAATAACCCTCGCCCTATCTGTCAGATATGTGGTCGTACGGGTCATTCTGCTCTTAAGTGTTGGAACAGATTTGATGTGAACTACCAGAGTGACGATGCTCCACAAGCTCTCTCTGCTCTTCATACCTCATACAACACTGGACAAGAATGGTTTCCCGACTCTGGTGCTTCAGCTCATATTACTTCAACAACTGCCCCCTTGACTACATCGACACCATATTCAGGACCAGAGAACGTCATGGTTGCTGACGGAAACTTTCTTCCCATTACTCATGTTGGCTCCACCACTCTCACCACTTCAACAGGTAGTCTTCCTCTTAATGATGTTCTTGTATGTCCATCAGTTCAGAAATCATTATTGTCTATATCAAAATTGTGTGAAGACTATCCTTGTGGGGCATTATTTGATGCTAATGCTGTATATGTGATCGATCTCGAAACTCAGAAAGTGGTGACAAAGGGCCCACGTCGTGAAGGTCTTTATGTGTTGGAGAATAAAGAGTTTGTAGCTTTCTTCTCAAATCGACAGTGTGCTGCTAGTGATATGATCTGGCATCAACGTCTCGGACACGCAAATTTCAATATTCTCCAACTTCTTAAGTCAAGTAAGGCGATAATAGTGAATAAGAGCAGTCCATCGCTCATTTGTGAACCGTGTCAGTTGGGGAAGAGCTCGCAACTTCCTTTTTTTTATTTCTGAGTCTAGTGTCAAGGAACCAATAGATCGAATACACTGTGATCTGTGGGGTCCCTCTCCAGTTGTATCAGTCCAAGGTTTCAAATATTATGTTGTGTTTATTGACAACTTTTCTCGATACTCCTGGTTGATTCCTCTCAAGGCAAAGTCTGATTTCTGTGACGTGTTCATAGCCTTTCAAAAACAAGTTGAAAACCAGTTTCGCAAAAAGATAAAGATCTTTCAAAGCGATGGGGGTGGTGAATTTATGAGCACTAGATTCAGAACCCATCTAAAAAACCATGGTATTGGTCATTTGATATCATGTCCGTCCACACCCCAACAGAATGGTCTTGCTGAACGCAAGCATAGACACTTAACGGAGCTCGGGTTGTCTATGTTGTTTCAGAGTCAAACTCCATTGAAGTATTGGGTTGAGGCTTTTTATTCTGCAAACTTCATAAGCAACATGATCCCATCTGCTGTTTTGGGACAGAAAAGTCCCTCTGAATTATTGTTTCGCAAACCGCCGGATTATTCCTTTCTGCGAGTCTTTGGTTCTGCGTGCTATCCATGTCTACGCCCTTATGCTCAACACAAGTTTGAACCTCGCTCACTTCAGCGCGTGTTCTTGGGGTATCATGCTTAATACAAAGGCTATCGTTGTCTTTATCCACCAAGTGGTCGAGTGTATATCAGTAGACATGTAATCTTTGATGAACTCTGTTTCCCGTTCAGCAACAAATACAAATGCCAGGTCCAACAACACAAAACTGGTCTACTAAAAGCATGGCAGGATGGTACATATTCGTCACCTGTTCCTCACTATCTCCCTTCTCCTCCTTACAACATTTCAGTATATCCACAAGAAGAGAACAACTCTCCAGTACCTGCAGTTTCTGAATATTCACCTGCAGTTTTTGAATCTGAGCCTGCAGTTTCTACATATTCACCTGCAGTTCCTGTGATTGATGCTCCTGCCACGCCGGAGGTCTCTTTGCCTGTTCCAATGGAAGCTTCGTCCTCCTCACAGGCTGTTCCTTCTCCCGAAACAATGGAAGACGTCACCACAACACAAGTTCCCTCTATGATCACGAGATCTCGGCAAGGGATTCGAAGACCCAATCATCGGCACCCTATGACCACAAGATCTCGGCTGGGGATTCGAAAGCCCAATCCTCGGTATGCTCATGTTGCCAGCAAGACACTCCCTTCACTACCAAAGACGATAACAGAGGCCTTAGCGCATCCTGGTTGGCATCAAGCGATGATCGATGAGCTTGACTCAATTTATCAAAACCACACTTGGACTTTGATACCTGCAACAGGTGATATGAATATTCTTGGTTGTCGATGGGTTTTTACTGTCAAACTTCATGCAGACGGGACTGTAAATAAGCTAAAGGCCAGACTTGTCGCTAAGGGTTTTGATCAAGAACAAGGAGTAGACTTTGTTGAAACGTACAGTCCGGTTGTTCGCACTTCAACAATTCGAACAGTCTTAGCAGTTGCAACTGCTAAACGATGGAGTATCACTCAGTTAGATGTGAAAAATGCCTTCCTCCATGGTGAGCTCCAAGAACCTGTTTATATGATGCAGCCACCAGGATTTGAAAACCTTGCTCTTCCCCACCATATCTGTTCTCTTCATAAAGCCCTTTACGGATTGAAACAAGCTCCTAGAGCATGGTTTGATAAATTCA